TGTTGGATGCAAGTGCTTGGCTCCCAATCCCAGATGGAGCAGAGGAGCAATTTCTCTCACATTCCTGTTCTTTGCCTTGTGTCCACCTTCCACTAGAGAGAGCAGAAGTTTTTTTATGTTCACTATAATGGGAATGAGATATCCAGCCACAGTCCAAATCTTTAAAATCCAAGGGAAAGAGGCAGTGAGCTGCAACAAGGTTCTGATGTGCATTTGGATTATGTGATCTTGTTTCAGTCTTCTTGAATCCTATTTATTGTCTTTGGTGACTATTGGCTGATTTTTTGTCCTCACCATCTGGTTGTTTTTAGAACAGTGAAAGTGTTATGTACGTGCAAATATGTGTCACAATAAAATTCCAGAGTAATAGACTATAATCTGAATAGAATTAGAATAGACTTTGAATGGATGTAAAGGCTTTTATTAAACACTAAATGTAATTAATTCATTGGTCCTCTTTAATGCTTACAAGAAAAGGATCTGCTCATTCCTTCTAATGAAACTGTGCTGAGTTTAAGCAATACTTCAATAAGTCCATATGGTTTCAAAATGCTGCTGCATTCTGCTGCTGAGGATTCCCTCCCCTTTCAAAGAATATACATGGGACTGCTTGTATTTTAAATATTGGGGGGTTTCCCTGACTTGTGCCCAGTTAGGGAGGTCCTTGTAATAAGATTATGCCTTTTCTATTACTCTGACTCATTTTTGGGGTTGTTTTTTTCTGGTTGGCTTTGTTGGAGGTTTTTTTTATCTCTTTTTTTTTTTTTTTTTTTTTTGCCATTGCATAGTTAGCAGTATTGCTGTTTCAAGAGTGCCAAAATTAAAACCCTGGTCCAGAAAAGATTGTATAAGGGAAAAACAGGACTTATAAACAGCTGAAAAGGTTTAAATTGTCATACTTTACTTTCTGTCCTTCTTAGATTTACTTAGATCTTCTACAATCTGTGTGGGTCACATTTTCCTGCAGATCTCTAATACTAAGGAGGCTAAGAATTATGGTTTATGAATTTTAATGAAAGTTGAAATCCTTATGTAATCATTTGCTAGGGCTTTAATTAAATAACCATATAGGAGAAGAACTGCATTTAGAGAGGCGAGGGCTGAAGATGCTAATTTTTAAATGGCTTTGTTGTACTTCAATATGGGTATCTCAGAAATCTGATGTAATGTAGACAGTCTTTTATATCATTCCCTACTCCTTTGAAGGTATTGCTGCATTAGTGAACAGAAGTTTTAAAACCACAAGCTGAGAAACTTCATGGTGTTTATAGCAAAACCTGAAGTTTGGAGCTCAGGCTCCCACCCTACATCTCCAAAAGGGGATGAGCCCTTTCACTTCTCCTCTTCTGGGATTTTGGTATTGGGGTCTTTCCTCAGCAAGAATGGGAGAGTGTTTTCCCTGGAGAGCTGTTGGTCAGTTCTTATGGTAGCACCAAGCAGTGGTTTTAGCACAGGCCATGTTTTTGTGCATTCCTGAGCATGCAAGGCTCGTTCTTGTTGCTAAAAGCTGCTTTCATCTGTGAGCATTAAAACTGCCAGAGATGGGTTTCCAGGGCAGTTTCAGATGAAATGTAAAGTAGCTCCTTTTCTTCTAACAGAGACTGTATGCATGTAAGCTGTGTGGGCGTTTGATTTCAGTTTTATCCCTCCTTTTCTGCTGCTGATGCACATAGCCTTGGTTGCCTGGTCAGTAAGAATAATAAATTTGATGCTCTGAGGCTGTTTATCGTCACTCTGGACCAAATTAATTCCAGAGAACTTTCAGAGGAGGTGGTGGGGTCTGGAGCAAACCCATCTGTTAGTGATAAACATAAATCCCCCTACTTCCAAATGCATTTTTGTGTCAGTATCTCTGTTTGCATGCATGCAGCAATTAAGCAGTATATTATTTTCTTTTTCCATGATTTCAGAAGGTTGACTCACTCAAGTGGATTTATGCACATGCTCTGTTTTCTCTGAGTGTAGTTAGGTTAGTTGGTTTGTTGTTTGATTTGGTTTTTTTTATTTTTGTGGGGGGGTTTTGTTTGGTTTTGGGCTTTGTTTTTGCTTTTAATTCTGTTTTCTTTATCTTTTGATTTCTATTCAGCTTGCGGAAATAATGATTTCTACCTAGCCCTATAATTCAGGCATACTTTCTTTCCTCCTTTTCTGAGTATCATGCTCCAGCCCTTACTGTTTGTCCATGAAAAGAAAATCAGGTTCAGAAGGAATTGAGCGGAGTGTGGCTTGTTGAGCTAAAGAGTGTCACACTGAGACAATTGTCCCTCTGCAGAATGCTGGCGTGGCAGAGATTTTGTCATAAACTCTGGGGTTTTTCTTCTTTCTGAGGCATTTTTATGTGGTATCCATTTCATTTTTCATTCCTCCACTCCTGTGTTAGTAGGGACCACCACATGCCAAGAACATTCTAGCATGAGATGAGCACAGCTTTTTAGATAACGAGGGAGAAATAGATTTTAAAGCCGAATAAGATTTTATAACAACAGTAGGAAAAGGTTGGTTTCATAGGTCATGAATTAGATATAATGCTTAAAAACAGCCTCCCTGTTTTAGCTGGGGACAGCCATGTTGAGCTTGTGAGGGGTCCCCAGGACGAGGTGAGACATGAGAATTAACTCCAAGCTCTCAGAAGGCTGATTTCTTATCATATCATATTCTAAAACTATACTAAGCAAGAAAGGAGACATCAGAAGGCCAGAACAAGAATGATAATAAAAACCCATGACTGATCAGAATCCTGACACAGCTGGACTGAGATTGGTCATTACATCAAAACAATCCACGTGCAACCAATCAAAGATGTCCCTGGTGGTGAGCAATCTCCAGATCACATTCCAAGCAGTCAGATAATCATTGTTTACATTTCTTTTCTGAGGCTTCTCAGCTTCTCAGGAGAAAAATCCTGGCAAGGGATTTTTAATAAAATATGACAGTGGCAGTGACCACAGGTAACCACCCTGGCACACTTCTGTGTTTTCCTGGGGCTGGCTGCACTGGGAGCATCCCTACATATTGGAACAGTAATTCCAGGCCTGGCTTGTGACTGCACCTCTCATTTTTGGTGCCAGTAAGAAAGCAACCTTTCACTTTTCAATGAGCTATTGTGAGAAACGATAGTTACTTTCAAAAAATTTTAAAAGGTTTATTAAAACTTTATCAAAAATTGCAATAGAGACTGAATAGAGAAAATAAACCTAGCACTGGGAGCACAGGATTTTCTCTAGTATGTGCTCATCTACACAATGGATGTTCTGCTTTTTAACTCTTTGGCCTCTCCTAAAATTTTGTTTATTGACTCTTTCTTTGCTGTCAAGTGGTGGAGATTGCTTTCTGACATCTTGATTTGGAGGTCAGGTGTTGCTGTAGTAATGAGCTGATTTTCTTAAATACCCCAGCTATCTCCTGAAAACAATGTGAAAGGGGGGAACATAACTATAAATTAATAACATTTCTCTTAGTATATACATAATATTTGTTCTTTAATTGTGAGAGCTAACTATTTCATTGTTCATTTATTACACACTGGGTTCAGTGAGGGCAGGAGCATGAAAATCCTGGCAGGGGGATCTTATGCTACCCTTGGGTTTGAAGGTGTGGTGTCTGCCAAGTGTCTGTGGAGCCTGGAGAACCACAGTGGCCACAGCCAGGCTGGAATTAATCCTTCTTTCTTCACTGTGGGGCTTGCTTTTTGTGCTAATTCCACTGATAGGAACCTGGAGGAAAAGGTATGACCCAGAGAGCCACCAGTAGTCAGACTCGAGCTAAATTAATATTCTTTTAGCCAAGTGAATTAAGAAAGCAGGAGTTACTTCCTCCCAAGGCACAGGGGCTACGAAGTAAAACTGAAGAGGGGTTTTTGGTCCACAGAGGAAAGACAGGTAGGAGGGTTCTAGCAGAATTTCTCTGAAGCACATAACCTTTGGTAGGAGCATCTCTTGGTAGTTTTTGCACACCAGTTATTTATTTAAAAAAACATCAAAGCTATGCTTCATGCTGTAATGGAGAGCAAACAGGGAAACCCAGGAGAGCCAGTGTTTCCACCAAGAGTATACATGGAAAATAGGAAAAAAATGCAGTAAAATGAGGGGGGTAGTCACAAGGCTGTATCAGGTAAAAAAATTGTGACATTTCTGATTTTTGATGCCTGACTGCATGTGTGGTTTGTCTCCAGTTATGGAGGTAGATAGTTGTCAGTAATAACTTAAAAATTAGGATCCCTTGGGAAAGAAAAGGATAAGGAGGAACAGTTCCTGGAGAAGATAAAAAATTTCATCATAGGAGATGCATGTGGCTTTCCTGATTTTGCAAAGTAGAAACCTCTTGTCCTGGGATGAGTGTTTTGAAAGCATGTTCTGCAAAAAGTGTGGGTTGTAAATCTCCTTGCCAACCTCTGAACTGGGGGAAGGCATTTCCTTTGGGAAAGAATGTTGGGAAAATGAGCAAGAAAATGTTCATGGCTGTAAGTCAGTACATGTCACATTAACCCTCCTATCTTTCATTCACATATTTTTTTATTTGAATTAAGAATTTCTTCTGTGTGTAGGAGCAAACAATGCCCAGAAGAAATCCCTGAGTAGATATACAAAAAAACTCATAATTCAATGGTGAAACAGATTTAAAGCTGTTGCTAATTATCATGGCTGATATAAAATGTACATTGCTGATTAAACAAATGTGCCCTGGTTTTGGTAATCTCCTTGTTGATGTATCAGCTCTCCTTTTGCCAGATCAGTATTAAACATTTGGCTAAAGCTGAATCTGTGGCGGTGGGGATTTTATTGGCACCAGCAGAGTTGTGATGCCAGATGTATTTGGGTTCTGAATGCAAAGGTACAATGTTACATGGCTTTATTATGAAGCTAAAAGCTGTGTGAGATAAATCATAAAAGCAAACCTGTTTATTTCCAAGAAAAATGTGTAATGGATATAAAAGCATGAGTGTTTCAATTAAAATAATGAGTGCAATTTTTCACTTAGCTCTGCTTTTCTTTGTTTTGCAGCTCATGGGGCATTCTGAATGGGATCACAAACGAGGACCCAGAGGCTCACAGGTCAGTTGCTCAGTGTTTTGTGTTTGATTTTGGCTTTTTGTACATTTGAGGCATTCAAGCAAGTTTTCCATCTGAGTTTGGCAAAGTTGTTAATTTTGTTAATATTTGCAGGGTTTGGAGCAATGGAAAAAGGCATAAAACCATGGCAGCTTTCATTAATATAATTTTTGAGCTGTAATTCAAACAGTTGATCCAGACAGAGCTGAGTCATCCAACAGAAAGGGTTTTTCAGTAGCAGAAGGATGGATTAGATGTATGGAGAAAGCATTTCTTACTTAGCTGTCTCCATCAGGACATCAAAGCAATGCAATTTCAAACAGCATGAGTATGTTCTGTTTGGTGGTTTGTTTTTTGGGTTTTTTAACCTGAAAAACTTGTTAAAACTTGGATGGCTCTCTCTCCATGAATCCTTTCACTGTTGACCCAGGTGTGTTAGAACTGTGCAGGGAGGTGCAAGAAGCCACTGGAAGGAAATTATGCCAGTAGTGTTAATGGTATCACAATCCACTTCAAAATTATCTGTAGTAACTATCTCTTGTAATTATCTATTACAATTGCTGCAAACAAGACATCGCTACCAGTATTGATGTTCAGGAATTTTCCTGCTTGGGTAAAATAGCCTTTCCCATCTAGTGTTGAAAACCATAAATACTTTATTAGAGCTCCAGCCTTTTGTACTGGGTTTTACTTCAGGTGAAGGATTTTCGCGTGGATACTTTGTACAAGTGACAGTCCAGAGGCATCATAAAAGCATTAAAGGATATGTAATAAGGTGGGAAAAGAAAACCGTAGCATCATAGAACAGTTTGGTTTGGAAGGGACCTTAAAGTTCACCCAGTTCCAACCCCCTGCCATGGCAGGGACACCTCCCACTGTCCCAGGTGGCTCCAAGCCCTGTCCAGCCTGGCCTTGGGCACTGCCAGGGATCCAGGGGCAGCCACAGCTGCTCTGGGCACCCTGTGCCAGGGCTGCCCACCCTCACAAAAAATTAATTTTTACCTAACATTTAATCTAAACCTACTCTCTGGCAGTTTGAAGGCATTCCCAGGGTTCTCACTACAGTTCCTGATGAAGAGTCCCAAAATGACCCAAGCTTTCTGATTACTTTGTGCTATCCTGTGCACAGACACAAAAACTAAGGAAGAAAAGGAAGAAAAATTTCATTAGCGAGAAGAAAATGTGCCTCAGTTATTCCACTGTAGCTTTAGATTCTCTCCTTTACATGACTCTGAAAAATCTTCTAGATAGGAACAGCATTAAACCTAATTTAAGTTCCTTGAAAGATTAGGAGAAATTAAGGAGGTTCTGATTTTTGCAGAATAGAAAAGACTTTTTTTATCCTTTTGTCATTCAGTTACATTGTTGCCAGCTTCTGTCCTTTAAAAAATGCACCTGTTGTAAAAAAACAAGATCTTGCTGAAAAATTAAGGTGAATGATGTGTTAGCTATACTTAAATACCTTAAAACCTAGGAAGAAAAAAAGGGAAGTGAAATCACTGGTTTACCATAATGTAAAACTAAAATCTATGTATGAACTCCTGAAGGTATTCCATCAAGACTCATTAAAAAAGCTCTGATTCAGTGAAGGGGATTTTTTTTTTTAGGAGCTAGTAGGTTTTCTATGGCATGTGTTGAAACATGAGGGGAAGCTACTACAGTGCATGTCACACTCCTTAATGGCCCACTTGGCAAACATGTTCCTTTTCTGTTCCTTTTCTGCACGTAGGAGTGAAATGCAAAGTGCTGCAGCTCCAGGTAGAGATGGATCTCAAATGAGATGCACTGGGGCCCACGGGAATTTCTGTTTGCAGCACTTTGTCTCGTGATAAGCATCTGCAATTCAATAGAATGTTAATGGCACAAGTGAAAAGCTGTCTTTACAGTATTTAACTTGCTCAGGCTTCTAGCATGACCATCACTGCACTCCCCTTTTGAGACTGCCCACATGTATGTGTATCTATGTTGTAGGATTCCTTTTCTTTTAGAATAATTATACTATTAAGGCTACTCTAATTAGATTGAATTATAGGTTGCCTTACAAAGAGCAGGGAGTTCCTGGCTACATACTTGTTCTTTTTTTTTTTTTCCTTTCTTTTTTCATCCCTGAAGACAGCACTGCCTGCTCTAAGTGCTTCATGCTGGGAATTTTCTCTATGGATTTGAAATGAAGCAGGAAGTGCAAAGTGAATTTCATTACATTTTGTGCTTAATTTTAAAGATTAATACATGTTAGAATTAAGGATTTAGGCATGAAACTTAAAAACTGAGTTCCAAATTAAAGAAATTCCAAAGTGTTTAGGAATATTTAATCCACCTAAGGAAAAGTCTCAGAAATATATACATGCAATTTGTAGAACCGCATAATGTGAGGGGAGAATATCCATACATGTTTGTAGTGCTGGCACGTGCCACAAGAAAGTGTGACTAGCAGAATTCATCCTTGGAATATTATTGCTCTGCAGAAACAAATATGCAAATTGTCCTTTAATCATTCTGCTAGAACACAGTACACTAGTACATAGTACACTAGTACTTAGTACTGCCAGGATCTTGCAGGTGGGCCCCAGGGCACACTCTGTGCACACGTTTTTATGTTTTTACCAGGGCTCCTGGGTGTGTGGGAGTAATTTGTTGCTCTGTCATCAAGGCTTGTTTGGCTTGCTGGAGATGTAGGCGTAGTCCCAGAGTCAGTGCAATCGAGCAATCCCGCATTGTAGAAGTAGCATGATGGAGAGAGGAACACAGGTCCAGCCTTTTTAATTCTCTGTAACCACAAAAGCTCTCGATTCTCCATCCGAGGTGCTGCGTTTTACCCCTCCAGTTCCTAAGCAACAGCTATTTCCAGAGTGAGTGCGTCTGGTGTTGTCTACCTACTCCAGGCTCCTTCCTGGGAGGTGGCTGGGAGCTGAGCTGCTTACTGCCTCAGCTGTGCCACTGCAAGGACACAGATGCTGTAGAGGAGCAGCACAAGCTGGGCTCTGACCAGTCTCCACCTTGCAGCTCACCAAAACTCGCGTGCTTCGGGGAGCTCTGCCATCTACAATGAAGAGCAGGAGTCAGAATTGAGGTTCTTGCCACTGGTTTGGGACAGAAGCTTTTTTTTGTCAAGTGTGGCAAAGCCTCTAGAGCAGACTCAGGAGGATGAGCCGGAAATCTCTGTCCTTGCTGAAGCGCAGGTGGGAGTCCATTCCCGCTGGGGACCAGGTACTGTGCTCTGGGAATCTGTCTGGGGTGTCTGTCTGCCCTCAGTGCCACTGTAAAGAGAAATACAGTGCCCTGCTGGGGCTCTGGGGGCTCTGAAAACAGGGAGTGCCAGCTGCTCATTATTTGTCATTCCTAAAATGAATGCTGCCAAACTCGGGTAAGGCTGATTTTGTCAGGGCATGTGCTTGTGAAGGTGGAGATGCCATGGCAGCCTATTAATGCAGAGGTATTTAACCAAAAAAGTCTCCCTGTCTCAGAAAGGAGACTTGCTTCAGGAGTATTTGAAACTGAGTATTAAAAACTATTTTAAACTGAGTGGCTAAGGGAAATAGTAGTCTACTATTAATGGGTTGGTGCATGACTTTTTTGTGTTTCATATCTTTCATATCTTACATGTGTGTGTATGAAGTCACTGAGGCATTGGCAGCAGAACATTGGTGTTTTCAGAGTCTGCCCTCAATGCCACTGTGAAGAGAATTACAGTGGGGCTCTAGGAGTTCTCTGAACACAGGGAGAGCCAGCTGCTCGTTATTTGTCCTTCCCAAGATGAATGCTGCGAAACGCTGGTAAAGCTGATTTTCCCAGGGCATGTGCTTGGGAAGGCGGAGATGCCATCACAGCCCACTAATGCAGATGTATTTAACCAAAAAAGCCTCCCTGTCTCAAAAAGGAGACTTTTCTAAAGGCTTCAGGAGTATTTTAAACTGAGTATTGAAAACTATTTCAAACTGAGTGGCCAAGGGAAATTTTAGTGTACTGTTGATGGGTTCCTTGTGCATGACTTTTTGTGTTTCTTATCTTACATACATGTGCGTGTATGAAATTACTGTGGGATTGGCAGAACCTTGGTGTTTTCAGAGTCCTCTTGGTTGTTGTGTCATTCCAAGTGCGCTAACCAAGAGGAGAGTAAAGCAGATGCAAACAGAACATATGTAAACATCTGCTGGGAAAAGCAAATACTGTCACCAGAATCAGGACTGAGATGTGATGAATGGCAGTGTGATTAGTGTATTTCCTACTTCTTGTTCCAGGCACTCCAAGATTCTCTTGATTTTTTTTTTTCCATACTTTGCTTGAGATGTGCAGATAATAAAAGAAATAATTACAGAAATAATATTGGTGAGCTAACAGCTCCACTCTCTTCTCAGTCATAATTCCATCTCAGTTTTCCATTTATAAAACAGTTGACTATGAATGGTAGTTTTTATCTGTAGAAAAGAGACAGTTGTTTGACAGGAAGAAAGACAGAAATGCATCCCAGTTTTTGAGAAGCATCCTCCTGTGCATTTTTATTAAGAGGGAGAAGGACAGGGAAGATTACATACCATATTTTATGTTTAAAGATAAGTCATGCCACTTGGAACTTTTAGAGATCTCAGACATATTATTTGTCAAAAAAAACCCCTCATGCTGTCACATAATTATTCACAATAAAATAATAAGGCATTGTTGAGTAGTGCAATTTTATTGCATGGAAAGGAATTTAATTGATCCAGATCAGTCCAGCATTCTTAAATTTCCTAGGAAAAAAGTATGAATAAATGCTCTGGTAGGAAGTGAATCATTTGTGATGTTGCTTCTCTTAAGATGCAGAGACACTGATATTATTTCAAAGGAAGGCTGCATCGTACATCCCATTGTAACACAGTATGTGGGAAAAATAAATATTCCTCACCTAGGTGTGAGGTGTGCTTGGCTGCACTGAGCTGGGCATCAGTTCCACCATCAGTCCCTCAAGCCCTCTGAGGGGTTTAAAAGAGGAAAGGGAATTTCCCTGACCCATCTGCACTCTGGGA